GCATATGGAAGTACTCGCTATATAAAATGCAGTTGTGTACTAGGTCAAATGATATCAGTCTGGATTTGCCTTGCACGGTTATTGTGAATTGTTTCAGATACAATGTACACAGGGAAATTAGTATCCCACTTGGTAGACAGGGATGTGGATGTCCTGGTGGATGGTGTAGTGCAGTGGAGGCTCATGCTCAACCAGCAGGACCAGCACAGGAGTCCATGTCATCAGCCTGGTCTAAGGTAGTCACCTGGGTCAGTCCATGGTTCCTAGTTCCACAGACTGGAGGAACGAACAGTGTTCAAAGACATTCTGCACTCCACAAGGTTGAGTGCCACCATCATCTCTCTCTATTACCTCATACTCACTTTATCTCTGCTACTGCAACCAGTTCCCAACAAGGGTCAAGGTCTACCACTCTCACTGTTGCATGCAACAGCTTCCCTCGATTGCTCTTACTCACCCAATACCCCTACCCTACGAACATTACATGGCCTCTGCATTGCCTACTCGCCTGTGACACCTCAACGCCATCCCCACCTTTATCAGCACTAACACCTGTGCCCTCTAGTTTCATCTCACTCAATCCCTCCCTATATCTTATTTCCAGAAAATAAATACAGCCCACAATAAGGGTGGAGAGCTAAGATGGGTGCTGTGGTGCCCAACATATGGATCCTAACTCACTTTGAGGAAAGAATGCTTGCCCTTGCTGATGAGGATCATGACTGCTCATGTGGCAATGGCAAAACCTCCATGTTCTGACAAGCAAGCATCAGCCACTGCGGTGCTGCTTTCCCATTATTGCCATTCTGAAAGTATTCTTAATGTGCACAAACTTCTACCACTTGTTTCACATTCTCTCTTTTGTCTCCTGCCATATGAATAGTATCAGTAAAGACTTGACAGCAAGCAGTATGGTCCAGCAAGACACCATTTCTTCCACCTCTGAGGAAAAAGCCACAGATCCCTTGCAGGCTGTACCAGCAAGGCTGACTTCTGCACCCTCCACCAACTCAGATATTTGGTGGCTATTTCAGCTAGATTACGGTCGAGTACACATGCTAGTGAGCATGTCACTGCCATGTGTCTATGGCTGTCCAAAGAAAGAACATCAATGGTTGCTGGGTCTCAGCTCTAGGCATGATAGGACTCCAGGGTGTCGGCAGTTTGTGACTTCATTGAAATGCACAAGCAGACACAGGAACAGCAGGCAGATTGGCGAAGGCACTGGCCACATGGAGTTGAATATTAGAGGATCTACAATGATTTTTTAAAAGGAAGATGGATAATATTTGTAGAAAAATTGTAAAGGCTCCAGAAAAAGTACAATGGAATTAAATGAAGTGGATAGCTCTTTGGAGAGACAGCATAAAGATTGCATTATGTACTAAATGACCAAAATTCTACGGTTACACGCTGGGTGGTATCAGTCCGAACTCAAAAATCCTTCTACTTTAGATCAATAGTTATCTCTCATATTTTGACATTTATATGCATTTTTGACAATATGATAAGCATTTCAACCAACATTTTCAGTAGGTCATTCCATATCCTAATTATATTTGTGTAAAATAATAACCCCTTCATTCTCTGCTTTTGTCTTGCTGAATCCCTTCTACCATCTCCCTGATCTTGGCATCTTCCTAAAATAACACCACAAATTAGAAAGCATAGACTGGCTTTACTAACCCTAAACCTATGATCTGTCCTTTTAAACTAATTTTTTAAAAAAAACAGCTTATTTAAAAACTTTTCCTCCAAATATATATTAAAAACAATGTGAGGCCAATTATATTTACTCATCCTATCCTCTTAGAGTTTAATAATTTAATGAATATGTTCTGTCCTTATTCACCATCCCACACATTTTGCCTCAAATTTCCCCACATTAAACGTCAACAAACTCTCCTTTGCGATTAGCTACATGTCATTTTTTTAGCCATCCACAAATTCTACCTATATCCAAGCATTGATCATTTTGTAACAGAGCAATAAAAAAATGAAACAATAGTCACTCTGTGAGACTGCTGTAGTTCTGCATTTTCTTCCTTCGGATTGGAATCGGATTGTTTTCATACATAGCTCTGAACCCTACCTTTCTGTATGCGTGATTGGTAAAGTTAGTCAAAGGTTACAGACATTCTGGTTCACATCAATTAAGCTATTAAATTACTGCAATACTTTCTGCTGCATTACAAATTATTGCCTTGGACTTATTTATATTATCAGTTCTTGTAAGGAGATGAGAAAAGAGATCCATACGAGCCATCAAGGAATTGAATGTCATCTGAAGAAGACAACAAAAGTGCTCTACTGGCCAAATATAGGCAATGAGATTAAGGACTGCATCAGCCAGTGCAGTGTTTGTAGTGAATACCAAAGTAAGAAAGCTGAAGAGCCTTTTATGACACATGACACCCAGACATGAAGCTTAAAGTGGACCTCTTCATTCTTGCTGTAAGTGATTATCTTGTCACCCTCGAGTACTATTCTGATGACCAGGAGTTAGACCAGCCGATGTCAAAAACTACCAGGGAGATTGTAGAGTTTTTGAGAGCGTACTTCAGGTGTAATGGTATTCCAAACATTGTGATGAATGACAACACGTCTTAATTCAGGAACTGAGTTGGTTCCTAAAAGATTGGAAATTCAATACCAAATATCATCCACGCTATCTCCAGTAAAATGCAAAGGCTGAAACTGTAATGAAAATTGCCAAAGGAACCATAAAGAAATCAGGCAAATCCAGCACAGACTTGTACAAGGCAATCTTTGAATGGGAAGTACAACTACTAACTACTCTTCAAATAGTGAAAAATACTATTGATTCCAGACGTAGTAATAGGCATGAGGGACAAAATCAAGGTGAAACAGCAGAAAGCTAAACTTCACTTTGATAAAACTGACAATTCATTGCCAGAATAGAGCATTGGAGAATCAGTTAGAGTATAAATATGCAGCACTCTCAATACAAGTCAATTTATGAGGCAACTTGAGACCTGCATAGGGTAGTAGTCACTTCAGTAACACAGATGAATATGAACAACCAGATATATCGTTGCAACTGCAGATGCAGTGCTAGTAGAGAAACTGTTCCTTCACTGCAGGCAGTGGATCAGGAAAGTGATCTCATCACATGTACAGACTACAGAATGACCATCAGTCCCAGAGCTCCACTGTTCCACAGCAACAGAAGTGGATCAGCATCAGCTGTTACCATGGCAACAGTGCTCACTATGGGAATAACAATGCCCTGATCAAGAACCCATCTTAGAAATGACCACATACCAGATGAACAACCAACGACAGTGTGCATATGCCATGTGGAGAATTGTGTGCTTTATAGATTGAATAATGCATTTGTAGAGACTGACAAAAGTGGAACTGACTAAAGTTAGTCTAATAAACATTTTTATTAGTGAAGGATAATTTTCTTATAACCCTGTATATTGGATAACTTACACAAATGGCAAATGATAGTGCATGCGAATTCTTACAGGGGATGTTTGGAGAAATCCAATTGTATCCTTAGTACAATGGGTGGCTTACTGTAGTCATGTGACTGCTACCTATAGCCACCTTTGTGTGTAGTGTGTGGCAGAAATTAAACACACATTACCTGAGACATGGGTGAACGTACCAGGCCATGAATACACATTGACAAAGAGGGTCAGGAAACTGATATACCAGCAGGCCTTGTAAATTTTGGGCCCTTCTTATGTCTGTTCCCAACCTTGTAGGATTGTGTTAATTTTTTCAGCGTAACATGAAGCTGCTTTCAATATCAGCTTTTGTAACTTGGCGTCATACTCAGTTTTATCATGTTCCTATGAATTGTCTTGGGATATTTCTTTCAGTTAGACATGCTATAAATTGTTCTTAACTGTCCTGTCCTTATACATAATAGACTAATTGACCTCAGGATCGAGAGAATCCATAGAATCCGTACAGTGTGGAAACAGGCCATTCAGGCTAACAAGTCCACAATGACCCTCTGAAAAGCATCTCACCTAGACTCACTCAGAGATAGTAAGAACTGCCGATGCTGGAGTCTGAGATAACATGGTGTGGAGCTGGAGGAACACAGAAAGCCAGGAGCAGGAAAACTGACGTTTCGGGTCGGGACCCTTCTTCAGAAAAAAACTTCACCTAGACTCATCCCGCCTACCGTATCCCTGTAACCCTGCATTTCCGATTGCTAATCCACCTAACCTCCAGATCCCTGGCCACTCTGGGCAATTTAGCATGGCCAACCACCTAATCTGGACTGTGGGAAAAAAATCCATACAGACACGGGGAGAACGTGCAAACTCCACAAAGACAGTCGTTCGAGTGGATTCAAACCCCAGTTCCTTGCGCTGTGAGGCAGCAGAGCTAGCCACTGAGAGAAGTCCCCTATAACAAGATAACTACATACAAATTTGTGGTCCGTTACCACGAGGAGATGCTATTGAAGTTTGGGTGGATGAAGCAGAAACTTACTGAATTTCTTTATATTCAGCAACGTACTGGTTGCATGTTATATTGGCTTCACAATTCTTCCTTCTGTAACTTGTACGCTTTAAAATACAAACTTGGCTTTACCATTGAAGTCTGATAAGAATAAAGAGTAAAATGCTGAAAAATGTTGTATTTGCCAAGTCTGTTTTATTCATATTTGAAACTGTCTTTATCTGCAAACTCAAAAGTTATAATAAATCAGTGATGTAGGATTCCATTTTTAAAAAAAAACTCTACCTTGTCTTTTACGAGGTTTGCCAACCCTGCCTGGCCCACCCCCAGAATCAGTCTATGGGATTCGGAATGCCCATTTTCAATCCTTTTATAACTAATAAGATCAATAACAAAAGGTACTTTTTTTTCCATTTAATGTTATTGTGATTTTACTTCTGGAGTGCTTGGGTAGGGACCAGGGGGTGAATTATCAATTATTCCTGGGGGAGGTTAGCTTCTGGGCTCCTCCCCATCTGCAGCAGGCAGGAAAGACGTCCGCCGGCTCTGGGATGTGTTTTCGAACACGGGTCCGGCGATCTCCACCTCCCATCATTTTTGTTCCGGATTGTAATGCAAAAGCCTCTGTTACTATTATTCCTTTATTTACAAACCGAAGGAGGGAGAAAAACCAACAAAAACACACAAGTAAAAAGAAAGTGGAACTGTCACGATGAAGTAAGGGCCACGGTATCAAATTAACAGCGGCGGATAACTGCTGGGAAAAGAAAACAAAATAGAGAGACATTTGAAGCATCTTGAGAAGGGAGAACAAAATACACGTTATTGGTCGAAGCTAATAGGCCAGCCGGCGCGCAAACGCAGGCTGTCGGTGCAGGAGGAAGTGCAGGAGAGACACATACGAGAGATTGAGGCCTTACCTGGAGTCGAAGCTGTTAGTCCGTGATCGAGGCGAGCGTTGGCCATTGGTCCAGGCTCGCGGGCAGCCGTTGGCTGTTGGTCCGGGCTCGCGGTCAGTCGCGAGGTAGAGAATGAGGCCCCGCGCGAGCGATGCTCGTGCCCCGTGAGATGGAGTCCAAGGCGCAGCCGCCGCCCCAGCAGCAGCTGGTCATCCGCATCAAGGTCCCGGACGGCGGCGATGTGGACTGGAGCATCCCGCTAGGCTCGCCGCTGCTCTTCAGGGATATGTTGGTAAGATTGGTGCGGTTGGCAGGCTGCTGGTTTCTGTTGTGGGCACCTCTGGGCCTACTGATTACGGAGATGGAGGCTTGACAAATCTAGTTTCCTGAATAGGATCTAACAGATTGCGGAATTTGTGGGCAGAGGATCTGACGGGCTACTGGTTTGGATGTGGACACCTGACGACCTGTTTTTTTGGGCCGTGGAGCCGGCGAGCTGCTGGTCTCCGGGACCGAGCAGCCCTCAGGCAGCTACTTTTGGGAGTGAGGACCTGACAGGCAGGGCAGTTAGTGTGTAGAAGACATGACAGGCTACGGATTTGGATACTAACTTCTGAATGACTAATTTTGGGATTGTGGCCCTGACAGGTTTATGGTTTCACGGATGAGGACTTGATCGACTGCTGTTTTTGTGGCTGAGGCCCTGATGGGTTGTTAGTTTCCGAAATGAAGATCTGATGTGTTTCTGGTTCAGTCGTGTCCACTTGGGTCATCAAGCATCTATCTACTCAGGCCCCATGTTCCAGTATTTGGTTCATAGCCTTGTATGCTAAGACACTTCAAGTAATCATCCAAATTCTACTAAAATATTGTGATCCTTCCTGTGTCTACCACCGTTTCAAACACTAAATTCTAGGTACTCCCACCTTTTGCTTTCTATGCCCTATAACATCTCTACCCCGGTTATTGATTCCTCCATTAGGGGAAAAGTTTCTTCCTGTCTATACGCTGTATAATTTTGTATTCTTCAGTCAGTTCCTCCCTTGGTCTTCTCTGCTGTAAGGAAAACAGCCCCAGCACGTCTAGTCTCTCTTCATAGCTGAATCACTCCAGTCCAGGCAACATCCTGATAAATCTCTTCCACCCTCTCTGCTTCAGTTAAATTGTACTATAGCGTGATGACCAAAACTGCACACAGTATTCCAGCCATGGCCTAACTAACATTGTATACAGCTGCATCATAATCTTCTGCTCTTGTATTTTGTGCCTTGACTAATAAAGGCAAGTGCCCCATATGATGGCTTAACTACCTTAACAAATCTACCATATTGCCTTCAAGGATCTGTGGACAAGTACACCAACGTATGTCTGATCTTCTGTACTTCCTAGGGTCCAGCAATTTAAAGCCTTTCCTTACCTTGTTTGTCCTCCCAAAATACATCACCAGACACTTTTCAGGATAAAATTCCATTGTTCTGCCCATCTGACTACCCTGTCTATATCATTTTGTGGTTTAAGGCTTTCCTCTTCACTGTTTACCACACCAATTTCTGTGCCATGTGCAAGCTTACTGATCAAATCTTAGATTCATGCCTAGACCATTAATGTACATTACAATCAGCAGGGGATCCAGCACCTCTGGAATGCCACTGGACACATACTTCCAGTCACAAAAACAGCCTTTGACTGTCACACTCTGACTCCTGCCATTAAGCCAGTTTTGGATCCAATTTGGCAAATTGCCCTGGATCACATGGGCTCTTACCTTCTTGATCAGTGGCCCAGCAAGTCATTGTCAAAAACCATCTCGAAGTCCATGTAGTGTACACTTGTTTTATCTCCTCTGTACGTCTAGTCTCAAAAAGCTAATCAAACCTGTCAGACATGATCTCCCTCTCATATGCTTGATTAATTCTTGCTTCTCCAAGTAGAGATTAATTCTGTCCTTCAGGATCTTTTCCAAAGTTTCCCTTCACTTGGTGTTGGACTCACTGGATTATAAACCCCTGGTTTATCCTTGTCACCCTTCTTGAATAATGGTATCATATTAGCTGTCCTACAATCCTCGGCACCTTTCTGGCTGACTCCCAAAACCGGCAGCAGGTTAAGTGTCAGTGTCTAGAGATTCAGATGTTTAGTGTCCAGAAAGTTCATGTCAGGGGCCCTGCAATTTTCTCCCTTACCTTCTACAGCAGCCTAGAATGTATTCTATCTGGGCTTGGGGACATTTCCAGTTTTAAGGCTGCTAATACTACTAACACCTCCACCCGCTCTTTTGTAATTTGTTTGAGTACACTAGTTCTCTTCCCTTATTTCTAAAACTATCTTGTTCTTCTCTATCATGAACATAGTTGTAAAATACTGATTTAACGACTTACCTAGATCTTCTGGCTCCATCCATAATTTGCCACCTGTGTACCTAATAGACACGATTCTTTTCCTAGTTATCCTCTTGCTCCTAATATACTTACTACATACCTTCAGATTTTCCTCCATTTTACCTGCCCTTTTTTTTATGCACCCCCATTTGCTTTCCTAATTTACTACTTCAGCAAACGCCTGCATTTTCTGTATGCCTCTAGGGTTTCTGGTATTCTGATATCTGTTTTAACCTTCCATGCTTTTCTTTATCCAATATTGTACTTTCCTAGATATCAAGAATTCTCTGGAATTCATATTTTACGTGAAGGTGGCCTGCACTTGCACTATTTCCTTTTTGAAAGACTCCAACTGGTTTGATGTAGATTTTCTCAGAAGAAACTGGTCCTAATCCACTTTGTCCATGCCCTTTCTTACATTAACAATGTCATTCCTGTAATTCAAAACATTTATTTCTGGTTTACCTTTGTCCTTTTCTGTGAATACTTTTTGTTTAGAGACATGGAGACAGTTTGATAAGTTGCTTGATGTTGACTTGATGTTTTCAGATGAAAACTTAAAATAAGGATTGTTAATACTAAATATTGGCATAGATTGGAACTTATAATGCGGAGTGGAATGAAATGCCCTTTTTTTTGGAGTTATAGTTGCTTATGGGATGTAGGTTCAAATCTGAGATTGTCCACACAATCAACAGAGCTACAGGATTTCGCACAGAATCTGCAATAAGCTGTGAAGGGAGGTGCAGATGTATGGCTGTGGTAGATGAGTAGATCAGGTTGCGTTCTAATGCTAGCCATCTTACAAAATTCGCTTTCTGTGTAAATGCATGAAAAATGGACATCTGGTGAAGAATCAGTGGGGATGCTTGCACCAGTGGATATCCCAGCAGAAATTATTGCATTCAGAATGGGAAAGCAAATAGATGTTTGTTTGTTGGAAACAGAGAATTTAAACCTCTTAAGAGCTCTTGCTGTTATTGATGTGTTGCTAATTGTCATTGTCGTGGTCTTAGTGCATCATTAAACTGCATGTTACTTATTGTTTCCCATGAGATTCAGCTACGGTATATTCCTAATTCAATTTGGTTGGTGTTACAGGAGTAGACCATTTAGCGCTTTGAGCCTTTTACAACATTAAGTGATATTATCGGTGATCTTCAAATTAACCGCTTACCTTAATTCATTCCTTTATTTAACAAAACTATTAAACTTACATTTAAAATTAATAATTGATCTAATATCATCATCAACTGTTTTCAGAAGAGAGTTCCGACTTCTATGATCCTTTGTGTGTAGAAATGTTTCCTGATTTTATTGCAGAAATTCCAGCCAATTTTTATGCCATCACTTCTAGTCCTATGCACTCCAGCAATTATTAATAGCTTCTGTCGATCTTATCTATTCCCCTTAATGTCTTGAACATGTTAATCAAATTACGGCCTCATACTAAATTCCCTCAAATTTAGAATATTCAGTTGCTACATAAAATAGTTAAGCAACATGAAAATACTGGCAGTTCTTGAGACATACTAGTCTGTCAGAAATGAACATTTACTTTAGTTTAAAGCTCCTCCAATTCTTGCGAGTTCCTGATTTTAGTTGCTTACACATTGGTGTCCATATTTTCTATAAGACCATTATATATAGGAGCAGAATTAGCCCATTTGGCCCGTTGAGTCTGTTCTACCATTCAATTAGGCTGATATGTTTTTCAACCCTTATGGCAAAGTCCAAGTGAGCAATTGTGATGGGGTATTCTCTAGTCAGGGTCACAGAGGCATTTCTGCACCCGTGAGCAACACTCCAGGGTGGTGTTTTGTCTTCCTGGTACCAGGCTCAAGGATGTCTTGGAGCAGTTGCAGGGGAGTGTGAGTAGCCAGAGGTCGTTGTACAGATTGGTACCAAGGGCATAGGTAGAAAATGGAATGAGGTCCTACAGAGTGAATATAGGGAGTTAGGCAGGAGGTTAAAAAGCAGGACCTCAAGGACAGTAATCTCTGGATTACTCCCAGTGCCACATGCTACTGAGAGTAGGAACAGGAGGATAGGGCAGATGAATGCATGATTGAGGACCTGGCATGGGGGGATGGATTCAGATATTTGGATCATTGGGATCTCTTCTGGAGCAGAAGTGACCTGTACAAAAGGTACAGGTTGCACCTAAACTGGAGGGAGACCAATATCTTGGTGGGGAGATCTGCTAAAGCTACTTGGGAGGGTTTAAACTAGTCTGGCAGTGGGGTGGGACCCTAAGCAGTAGTGAGACGAGAGAGAAGGTTGAGGCTGGTGCAGAACTTAAAGAAAGCAAGTTAAATAGACAGGGCAGGCAAGAGCACACCAGGGAATGAGGGAAGACTGATGAATTAAACTATATTTATTTCAATGCAAGATGCCTGATATGTAAGGCAGGTCAACTCAGGGAATGAATGGGAACATGAATCTGGGATATCATAGCTATTACAGAAACATTGATGAGGGAGGGACAGGACTGGCAGCTCAATGTTCCAGGACACAGATGCTGTAGGAATGGTAGAAGGGGAGGCAATAGAGGAGGGGGAATGGCATTTTTGATTGCAGAAAATATCACGGCAGTAAGTAGGATATTCCTGAAGGATCAACCAATGAATCTATATGGGTGGAACTGAGAAATAACTTGGGGATGAAGACAACAAATGCTGGAGATCATAGCAGGTCAGACAGCGTCCATGGAGAGACAGCAAGCTAATGTTTTGAGTCTAAATGACTCTTCATCAGAGTCGAAACGTTAGGTTGCTGTCTCCCCATGGATGTGATCTCCAGCATCTGCAGTTTTTGATCCTAATAAGAAGGTGGTGATCACTTTGATGAGATTGTACTATAAGCCCCCGCTAGTCACGGGAAATTGAGGAGCAAATATGTAGGGAGATTGCAA